CTATACTCTGGGGCACCAAAACCCCAGCACGTGCAGCCAAGGGAGGAACACAGTGGTTGGGACCTAGAAGGCCTAGTGGCAGGGGGGCTCCCGCTATGTGTTCACAAACATCAGTAAGAGCTTCTGGTGGCCCTCAGAGACAACTCACCAGGACAGTCAAAGCTCAAGGTTGTGGCTGGTCCTCAGCATCTCTGCCTTGCTAAAGCCTGAATGATACAAACCTGATGCCCATCCTAAAGCAACTACCTGGGCATCTAGGAGATGTGGAAAAGCCCTGTGAATACGTACCTGCCCTGTCAGCCTTGAGTGCATCCCAGACGTTGCAGTTGAAGTCGTCGTACCCGGCAAGAAGCAGGCGCCCACTTTTAGAAAAGGAGACAGAAGTGATCCCACAAATGATATTGTCATGGGAGTAAGTCATAAGCTCTTGGTCTGCACGGAGGTCGAACAGCCTGCAGGTAGCATCGTCTGAGCCCGTGGCAAATGCATTGCCATTGGGAAAGAACTAGAAAGAGAAAGCATATCAAAGTAGTATGTTAATGCTCAAAATGAAATATTGGACAGAATGCTCCACGGTAGGGCTGTTGCTCACACAGAAGGGAAAATTAGCAGGGCTGGGCTTCCAGAAGACTAGGATGAATGCTAACATGGGGATGACAAGGAGTTTCCCAGGGATGGGGACAAAAGGGTAGATATGCTAGGAGAGCACAAAGATGCTCTGCTCTCAGACCCTGGGGATTCTATTCTAATGAAATAGTGAGAATGTGGTCCCTGTCAATGGGCTTATACGTCTCTGCAGCTGCCAGCTATCAAAGCTAACCTTATGAAGGAAGGGGGAGGGGAGGACTGACCAGAGTAGTTGTCAGCCTTGCAGTAGTGCTCTGCCCAAACCAACCAGAAACATCCCTCCAAGCCGCCACATGAGGCGAAAAGCTGAAGACAGTGCCTTGAGGTCAGTGTGTTGGAGAGGCTTGCCGGCCCCTTGGATTAGCCACGTTCCTGGCTGGCAGAGGACTATTGGTGGTCTCAATTATTCACTGTCTGTCTTCCCTAGCCAGAGGTAGCTCCAGGATTCCAAGCACTGGTCATTCCTGGAGGTAGGGACTAGGACTGGGCTTGGCACAAAAAAGACACATCAGCTGTGTCTTAGACAAATGTTCAACATAGAATCAGCAGGCTTTCAAAGGTCGGATCAAAACCAGAGTTTCTGCAGGGAATTTTCGGTATACCTGTGTATAAATTAGGTCATATGTATATAGAAAAGAGGACAGAGAACATCTAATCCAGAAAATACTCAAATTTAGTAACCCATACTGCCAATAAGACTGGCAGAGGCCCCACCCTCATGCCTTCACCCAAACTCACACAGATGGCATTGATGTCAGACTCGTGGCCGGTGAAAGTTTGCCGGCACATTCCTTCTCGCACATCCCAGAGTTTGGCTGAAGCATCACAAGCACCAGAGACAAACAGTCTGGTGTCAGGAGCAAGAGAAAGGCTCATGACATCTCCAGTGTGTCCAGTAAATGTGGTCGTCTGCTGGCCGGTCTCGATGTCCCACAGGGCACTAAAGCAGGAAT